ACTATGCCAAAATGTTATCCTTTTTGATATGAATTTGAGTAAATAAATGTGTTCTAGATAATTTTTATTAAACTGACGACGCAAATGCTAAATTATATGCAAGATGGATATGGGTAACGAAAATTGTGCCAGAACTCCCAAAAAGGCCCTACTGTTGCATCTGAACTAATATTTGGATTATATTCATAAATTAGATTTATTAAAAACTTAGAATGCAAGCTAGCCATTGAGTGAAGAAGATGTTTAAAAGAAGCTTTATAAGTTGGTTGGTTTTCTTTTTCTGGTTTAATTTCTCTTCCAAGAAAGAAGTTGTAAAGATGATTTTTAAGAAATTCAAAAAGATGGTAAGAAAATTTGGTTTGAAGTTTTTTGTTTGATTTCATTTCTTGGATAATTGGAAAGTTAAGTAGCCACTCATATGATAGATTTAATTTAGATTTAGGTTTAGATTCAATTGATTGTTTTGAGTTAGGTTCAGAAATATTAGATGAGTTTTGTGTATATTTAATAGCTTCTTTGTTTTAGATATAGTTGGGGGTAAATTAGTACTTTTAGAAAAGTTAGTTTGAGTTAAATTTGATGATTGAGTAGAGCTAGTATTAACAAAGAATTAATTAACAGGAGAAGGCTTTGGAGGAGAAAGTGAATAATCGACTTCTATATCAGTATTAGATTGTAGTTCTTGGGTTGAAGTAAGTAGAAAAAGATTATTAAAAGGGTTTGGTTTGTTATTTTTAACTTGTGATTGAGGTTTTTGAGTCTGATTAGATTTTTGAATTTGATTAGATTTTGGTAAGAAATTATTTACCAAGCTAGATATAGAAGGTGGTTTGGCTTGTGATTTAAATAAGGAAAAGGTTTTAGTTTTTAATTGATGATCCACAAGTCACCAGAACAAAATGATCTACAATCACTAAGTAAATATGACGCAGTTTAATTAATAAAAATCCTAATATATGAATGTACAAAATTTTTATATTTAAGATATTGAAAATTTTTTAACTTGCAATACATTAACTATAGTTAGATTTCTTTAAGTGCACTCTTTATAAGTATACACCTTTTCTAAATACACGCTTTAAACTTTATAAATACACTTTTTTTTTTCTAAATATACATTATTAAAGTATAATTTTAAAATTGTGTGTTTAAATCGCCAACCCAACTATAACTACCTCTGACTAAAAATTTACAACCCACTGGAGATGCAGTAGAATTATCCCAATTATAGTTGTCACACTGCTGTAACTTGTCATAACTATGGCAAGTAATATAGTAAGTTATAACTATAATACTATAACTTACTAAATTACTTACTATAGTTTTGGCAAGTTATGGTAGTGTGATGACTATTATTGGGACAATTCTACTGCATCTCTACAACTCACTCTACCCGCTAATTAGAACAAACCTACCATTGTTTAGAAATAGCTTATTTAATTTGTAATAGTTAGTCTAACCCAACTACCTAGTTTAGCCTATTTACCAGCTATATAGTTTAAAACTCATTAAACATGTAATTTAAAAATTTGTAAATTTGTGTCAAAAAATATTTAATTTCGGTAATAAAAATATTTGTAGTGAAAAATTATAATAAAAAAAATTTTCTTACATATTTATATTTTAAATTTATTTTTTTATTTATTTTCTTTGCATTTATAAACTTGCCAATTTCAACTCCTAATTTTAATTACATGTCATATAAAACACCATAGCTTTGTTGACTTCCAATTTAACAAAAAAGAGAACATAAGAAATATGTCAACTGCCTTACAAATATAAATATATAATTACAATTATACTGGGTGTCCCAAAAGTTCATATACATTATTTCTTTTTTTTTAAGCATTGCATAAATAATCATTATGATTTCTATATATAAAGTCATTTTAAAAAAAAGGGACCATATAAAGGAACTTTTGGAACACCTGGTATAATGCTTTTCAAATCACTTCATTCACATTAATAATTTTGGTCAAAAGGTAAATATGAAGATATTGTTTAGTATAAGCAAAATCATCAAATTAAGAACATTGATACTTATTTACTATTATAATACCCTTCTAATAATTTCAGTTGTATTAGTCATTTCATTCTACTTACAAGATCATATATTGATCAGCAAGTTAAAATTAGTAAGTTAAGCTCACAAACCAAAAATCAAGAATATAAATACTTAATTGCTACTGCATAGTGCCTTTCATTCACATTAATCATCTCATTCAAAAGGTAAAGTAAAAATAAAGATTATTGTTTAGTGTAGTTAAAATCAAACAAATTAAGACCATTAATACTTACGTAGTACCCCTCCAATCGTTTCAGTCGCATTGATTTACCCGTAACTATAAAATTATTTATTCGTTGAATTAAATCAGCAAGTCAGGTTCACAAAACCAAGAGCATAAAATACTTAATTACTATTGTATAACCTTCAAATCATTCATTTGTGTTAATAACCTCATTCAACAGATATTATTGTTTAGTGTAATTAATATTAATACTTACATATTATATAAGCGGTAAATAATGCTCATGGGTGTTATTTTGAAAATCTGGTCCTTCAAAAATAACCTGTATGGTCTCAAATTAGTGCTCATGGGAGTCCCAAATTAACACACATCCTAATGAAGCACATAATTGTTGCAATAAATGATTACAGTTGATACTCCATATATGCATACTCTATAAGTGTATTTTATATCTACTTTCCCCTATAATGATAATAATGCACATAATTTAATCAATTCAATATATATGTAGATTATTCTCTATAAATGAATATACTATAAATGCACTTTACCTAACGACGTGAATTTATGAAAAATTGATGTATTGGAATTAGAAAATCTACTCTTATTTCGAAATAACGCACGTGGGCATTATTTTGCACTTATATGTAATGCCTTCGGTCGAACTGATCTACCCATAACCTATTGTTTGTTAAATTAAAATTAGCAAGTCAGGTTCACAAAACCAAGAACAAAAAATACTTAATTACCATTGTATAATTTTCAAATCATTCATTCGCGTTAATAATCTTGTTCAACAGATCTTATTGTTTAGTGTAACTTATATAGTGTATAAGCATGAAATAATGTTCGTAGCATTATTTTAAAAATCCGGTCTTTCAAAAATAAGAATTAGCACTCATGGGCATCCCGAATTAATGCGCATCCTAATGTAGCACATGATTGTTGTAATAAATGATTACAGTCGACACTCCATATTGCGCACTCTCTATAAGTGCACTTCACATACTGTAATTATAATAAGTACACATAATTTGATCAATCTAATGTATATGCACCATAAATGAAACTTCTATAAATGCGCTTTTATCTAACAATGTGAATTTGACCATATTGGAATTAGAAATCTACTCTTATTTCGAAATAATATACATGGGCATTATTTTGCGCCTTATACATAATGCCTTCCAATCATTTCATTCGCATTGGTTGTTTAATTCTGCCAATAAATATAGAAATTATTTAGTAACCAAACCAAGTTTACAAACAAAGAATGTAAATATTTATTTACTGCCAGTGCACAAAATTGTGACAAGACACAACCTGATTTTTTCCAGCAATGTTTTTACTTACGGATTTTAAATAATAAGTAATGAAGGTTTTCCGAATGCTAAAAATTCTGTTGGAATCTTCTTAATTAACAACTATAAAACATATATTTAGAGTTAAAATCAGTAAGTAGTAAGAGTAAAAAAAAAAAAAAAAACAAAAAAAAACTATAAAATAAGCTAAACATGATCTTCATAACTACTGCAATTAAATTTTAAAAGATATTAGTAATATTCTACAAATCTCATTTATGAAGCTATTACTAAGTATAATATGCTTCAGGAAGCCTAAAAATTAAAATACATCTACAACTTTGTTATAAAATAATTAAAATCAAAGTATTATTAAAATATATTGATTCAGTTTATAGAATTATATATTAAAGTTTAACATAGTGAATGCTGCATTCGTCCAAGGTAAAATCAACCAAAAAAAAAATTGATACTAAATAATTTTATAATTTGAAGCTTTTAGTATTATTCTATTACTTGTACTACTTTATTTCTGTGTTTGTTAAAAAAATTAAAGATTTTACTTATTCTGTAAAAATTTTAATTCAAGCTTGCCTATATGTGATCTGCATCACATTCTAATATAGAAAATTCTTCTGTTAAGTGGTGGATCATCAATTAAATAAGTTACTGGTTTATTTTGTTGTTGTTGTTGTTGTTGTTGTTGTTGTTGTAGATATTTAGATTTGGATTGATGTAGTTGTTGTTGTGAGTTTTGAGATGTAATAGTAGAAGTTGTAGAAGTAGTTTGGATAGTAGTTTGATTGGTATTTTGTTCAATGGATATAGATCTTGATAGTTGTTCTATACATTGTCTTATAACTTCATTAGGTAGTGCAGAGATAAAAGAGACTGAGGAAGAGGTAGAAGTAGCACAGGTAAAGTGGTAGTAGTTTTTGCCTTGTCTAATTGTACCACTTTAAGGTGAGTGCTGATCATTAATTGATTTGCAGTTAATTAGTTAATCATATGTTGGGTATATATAAGTATGAGGATATAGAGAAGGAGTAGTTGGTATTTTATTAGAAGGTTTTTGTTGAGGAATTGGAGATTTTGAAATAGTTTGAGTTGTATTATTAAGTTGTTGGATAAGTTTTTTGGTTTAGTGACTTGATATAGTTAGGTCTATATTGTGTTTAAAATTATAGATTTAGTTATCTTGAGCTATAAATTTGATATGATATCTTTTACAAATACAGGTAATTATAGCAGTTGAGAGTGAAGCAGGAAAAAAATATATAACTCTTTGAGCAGTACGAAGCTCTTTGTGAAAACAAGCTGTTGGTTGAAAATTTTTTGAAATTGGTAAAACATTTTCTAAATTATCTTCATAGATTGCTACACTATAAGTTGTTTGGTGTTTTTGGTAAAAATAGTCAAGATCTAATATGTCTGGTTCTTGGCTTGTTAAAGTAGACATGGTAGAACAAATTTATTAATAAATTAGAGATAGGGTTATATCTATTTTCACAATGGTATAATTTTTGTTTCATGTAATGTTATGCTATAAAACTTCTAGATACTGCAGCTTGTGTAACTGCGGCTTGTATCACTGTAGCTGGTGTGGCTAGTGTGGCACAGATTGTGTCGCATAACTGTAATTTAATAGGTGCAAACTATAAAGCTTGTGTTAGTTAAATATTTACTATTTTGTAAATATTAAATTTTAATTAAAAATTAAAATAGAATTGGTGTAATTAGTGGAGAACCACTAATTTTGAGAAGTTAAAAACGTGGGTAATATGGTCTAAAAATGGTTAGTGTTGCATGAAAAATGCCTAGAGTTTTTTGCAAAAAAGAACTTTAGAAAAAAAAGAAAAAACCTTAAGAGAGTTTAGAAGGTTTTTTGAATATATTTTTGTCAGTTTTAGGTCTACAAGCCTGAAATTTAGCTTGTTATGATGAGAATTGTGAGTTCTTTAAGTTTTTCTAAGCTTAGAAGTTATGTTTAGATAGCTGTTTTAGAGTTATTAAGGAAAATAGGCCAGGTGGCCATTTCTCAGTAAGTTTAAAAAGTATTATATATATTTTTTTGTTAGGAATAAGTTTATTTAAGAGCAAAACTAACATTAACTTAGTAAAAAATAAAGTTATAAAGTGTTTTAAAATAATTAAGTTGGGAGAAGTTTGTATACAAGTGATAGATAGGAAGAGTTCCTGTTAATAAATTTCTCCAGTTTTATATATTAAAATCAGCTTTATCAGTTTTACTATGTGATAAAACCTAAAACATAGTGTCGATAAAACGTTATCTCAGCATTACTGGTTAGGGTGCAGCTTTAAGATAAAATAGAGGTTTTATATAACATAATATAGAATAGATATAAGGCCTCGATTTCAATTCTCATGAGGTTTTCAGTAATCCTAAACATTTTTATATAGAATCACAATCATATTTACTTAGTACATTTCAAGATATAGCATGCTGGTTATCCATAAGTTAAAAATATTTCTAATTTTATCATTATTACATTAATCAAAATATTAAAATTTACACCAATTTTTATTTTTCTACCAAATAAATATGCATAATAGAAGTATAAAAGATATATTAATCACAATCTAAAGTAGGTTTATATTGTTCAAAAGCAACTCTTTTTAATAATTTTTACATAACATTATTAGTTACTTCTTTGTAAATAAGCTTTCAGATTGCTCTTTTTTCAATTTCTTGGCAACATTTACAATTTCTTTTAACACACTTCATTATTCTCTTTTATTCCCAATATCAAATATCCTAGGAGGCCATATGGCATTTATGGCATAACCAAATAAGATTCCTAGTTCTTGATTCTATATGAATATGCTTCTACCAACTTCTCTCAATTCTAAGAATTCTACATTTTCAATACCAGGAAATCTAATATATAGAAATCCACTGATTAAATAAGTTACATTTTCTTTAAAAATATGATCCCAAGCTATTAGTAATTTAGTAGATATAAGATCGATAGTGTTTTTTGAAAGAAGAGGTCTAGAATTATCATTATCATTAAGAGGTTGTCTATTATTTGTAATAATAGCACCTAATTTAGCGATTAATTTTGTATTGGTGAATTTAATAACACTTGAACCTTCAAATTTGAATACTTCAAACTTTGTAACTTCTCCAAGTTCAAAAATATTAGGAAGACCAGGAAATGTATGATTAAAAGTTTTAATCATTAAATCATCTTGATCTAATAAATTCAAAATAAAAGAAATTGATATCTTCTTATTCTACAAATCTAATAAAAGGTTACATATCTACATAAAATTCCTAGTAATAGGTGCAGTATAAACATTTGCAACTCTTGGTAAAATATTTGGTAGTAATAATAAATAAAATTCTAAATTATATTGTGTTGAAATTTCTTTAGTGATAATTTGTCCAATAGTACGATGTTTTGGATCTACTCTATGAATGATCTTATTTAAATACCATCCAAGAGTTACTGCATGATATACACGAACAGGAACTCCATCAAATAGTGTAGTTGAATGGCAAGAATGTTTGCTAATTTATCAAGATTTTCAAAATCAGATTTTGTCAATTGTGTAGCAAGAAAGTTTACACCACCCTGATGATTTATTAAATTAAAAAGTATAACATTTTCTTTTACCTTAAGCAAATTCTGGCCAATATATGGATACTTTTTCATTATAATCAAGAAACTCTCGATCTACTAGGTATGCTATCATAATTAAAGTCTAAAAAAAAAAAATTAAATAAGATAAATAAATAAATAAAAAAGAAAAAATTATAATAAGTAAAAGAAGATGAATTTAATTATATTTAAAAAAAGTAACTATTTATACCATAATTTTAGTAGAAGAAAAAACAAATTGTATAATATTCTTATTATATTCATATTTTGCCTCAAGATTAGCATATCTACCTTGTAAATCTACCACTAGCTTACTATTATAATAAGCTGCAACACTCGATCCAACTTCACCACCATTTTCAAAATATTTTATATATGCTTTCTTTGCATCAATAAATTCTGGTACTACATATCCTTGCACCTTCATATCAAGACATCCTATTCTTAATAATTGACATGGTAGTGGCACAAAAGATCCAAAAGTTAAAAGTTTATAGATTATTATAGAAGTGATAAAAATCAATACACTGATCGAAAAAAAATATGATCTAGTGCTAGTAGAGGGATATGCTTTGAATTCTTTTTTATGAGATGTGGATTTTTTGTTTTTTATTGTTATAATTATTTTATTCTTATTTTATAAAAAAGGGTCATTTTATATAAAATTGTAAGACAAAATATGACAAAATTACGAATATTATTAAATAAGATTTTCAATTTTATTCAATAATTTTTAAATCTTGTTACAAGGGATAAAAGATTATTCAAATCCGAATTTTACTTAATAAAAGATAATAAATTAAGATCTTCTATTTTAGAATATTGATATTACAATTCTAAATAAACTAAATTATAGTCAATTCTCTGCATATCACTTGATTAAAATTTATATTTGCATTAATATATTGCGCTTATGGTACTTATTACAATACAGTGTTATCATTAGACTTCTTTATAAGTGTACTTTCCTTGACAAATATATTTACAGAAAGTCGATAATTACAGTATTTGCGCATAATAACACACATTACTAAATACAAACATAGTTGGATTGGCATATATAACTAATGCTATATATTTGTTATACAAAATCTATTATATTATTGCATAAAATAATTCGAATATTACATATATGTGTCCTGAGATAATGAACAGATACTCAAAATAATGCGTGATTACACACTTATACAGTTAATTCAACTATTTGATATTGATATGTCATTATTTCACAAAGTTAAAACCTCAAAAATGTGTACTGGTTAGTGTTCAGATAATTATATAAAAATCAAAATAATTCACAAAAAATCACTTTATGAATATCTCATTTCATAAACAATCGATTCTTGGAGTTATCGCTCAATTCCACCAAAGTTATCCACTTATCTAACTCAAGAGTTATTATATTTTTAGCCAGAGTGATGTCGAAACTTTCAGGGAATCATATTGTAACCATTTATCATAAAAAAAAGTTTATTTTAAAGACAAAGACAATTCATTTTATAGACAGTTCATTTTATAGACAATCTTTAACAGCAAATAACCAAATCAGCATTAAAGATTGTCTATAAAATGAACTATCTATGAAATAAACTGTTTGTAAATTAATTAACTTTAAATAAACTTGCTTATGAATCGGTTGTTTTAAAAAGAGAAGTCTGTGAAGTAATTGTCTGTAATATGTAATCGACAAATAATCATTACTGATTAATTAAAACGAAACCAATTAGTGTTAGTAATATTTGTAAAATAGAATCTTTTTCTTTTATTAAATTTATTCTGCTTCTTATTTTACTTTCAATTTCACATCTATTTCATATTTTATTGCTTTTTTACAGTTATACAGTACATCTTGTGCACATCAATATGTAAATGTGATTGATTTACGTTTCAACAAATTACAGTATTTTCGGTAAATCTGAACTGTTTTAATTAAAACATAAATTTATTTTCGAAAAATATACCATTAAATCTATAGTTGTATAGTAAAGTAAAAAAATCATGATACTGAAATTCTATTTGTCAATAGAAAAGGTGACTATAACTATATAATAAAAGTATACAAAAAAAAAAAAATTAAAAATAATTTATTAAAAAAAATCAGTAACAATAAAAAATAAATATGTTATAAATGAATATCTTTTTTTTTTTTTTTTTTTAATATTAAGGTGACCACTTAGGCCCTTGGCACTTTATTAGTTCAAACGGGTGGGCCATTGTCCGAAGACTGGCTTACATATTATATCAGTATAATAAGAGTACAACTAGTCACACATACAACTTTTGGTTGCCTATTTAAGTAGTCCGCCCGAAGCATTAGTGCTATGCTAAG